ATGACTCAGCCATATCTCGCGCGCGTTTTCTCTCTTTTTCTGTCCATCTATCTCACTCCCTTTTCAGGATATGAGTGATCATGTCTCTCCACAGTTTCCTGTCTTTTGTTGCTCTTGATATAGTTATTCGTTCACTGATTATTTTGTTACATCACTCATCTTTTTCTTTAGTTCTATTCTATTTTCTTAAATTTATTTCATTTGCTTGCTCGTTCTTCGTCGTCGTCTTCTTCTTTTTCTTCTTCTTTTTCTTCTTCTTTTTCTTCTTCTTCCACATATCTCTTCTTCTGTTTTCTCGTTTATTACTTTGTCCTTCATCTCCCTTTATATTTTCTCTTTCATCTCGAGCTTGATTTTTTTTCCTTTTTCTTTCTTTTTCTTTCTTTATCTCATTCAAAATTTTTCGTCTTACACATGTGTCTTTTCTTCTCCTTACACATAACTTTTTCTTCTTCTTCTTTTTCTTCTTCTTCTTTTTCTTACACATATCTCTTTTCTTCTTCTTCTTCTTCTTCTTCTTCTTCTTCTTCTTCTTCTTCTTCTAACACACACATCTCTTCTTATTCTTCTGTTTCTTCATTTGTTACTTCTTCTTCCTCTTCCTCTCCCTTTATATCTTCCCTTTCATCACGTGTTTGATTTTCTTCCTTTTTCCAACCCACTTACATATATTTTTCTTCTTCTTCTTCTTCTTCTTCTTCTTCTTCTTCTTCTTCTTCAACCATTTGCAAATATTTCTTTTTCTTCTTTTACCCACTTACACATACCTCTTCTGATTCAACTTTTACTATCCTTTCTCCGTATAGATCTTTTTTCTCTTTCCCCTCTCCAATCCTTTTTCCATCGTTTCGTCTTCTTTTTCTTATTCTTGCGTTCTTCCTTTTCTTCTGCATCAATTTTTCTTTCCCCATTTTCTTCTGTATCTGCAACTTTCACCCTTTTTGCTTTGCTTTTTCAATCCCCACCAATTTAATCATTCATTCTTCTTCTTGTATGTTTTTTTTTTCTTTCTTTGCCATCCTTATTTGTTTTTGCATCTGTTTCTGCGTCCTTTCTTTTACTCTTTCTTTCTTTCTTTTTCCAGTCTTCTCTTCTTTTATCCATCAATCTGTTCTTCTTCTTGTTTTTCTCTTTTTTGTTCCATCATTTCCTTCTCTATTTCTTTCTTTCATTCTTTTTTTTTTAATTTCAAATGGATTGAATTATGGGAAAAAGAAAGAAACGCCTACAGTAACTCGTTCTTTCTTTTTCCATGCTTCAATCATTTCTCATTCTTATACTTCTTTGACTTCGCCATTTTCTTCGGTATCTTTTTCCTTCATTCTTTTTCTCCTTTCCTTATTTTCACCATTTCTATTCACATTTAAAGAACAAATAAAAGCAGAAAGGAAAAGAAAGAAAAGAGTAAATATAAAAAAGCAGATAGAAAAGAAAATGTCGGAAGCAAAGAAGAAGAAGAAGAAGAAGATGAAGAAGAAGAAGAAGAAGAAGAAGAAGAAGAAGATGAAGAAGAAGAAGAAGAAGAATGGATTGAATTATGGAAAACAGAAAGAACGAGAAAATTTAGATGTCAAAAGAAATAAGAAAAGGAAAGAAACAGACAGTAGAAAATGACGAAGTAAAAAAAAAGGAATTTTTTTCCATAATTAAAAGCATTTTTCTTCGTCTTCTAAATTATTTTGCTGTTTTTCTCTTAGTTAAAACCTAGAATAATTAACATATCACGATTTATAGGAATGCTCTCGACATATCCTGGTTTGGAAATCGCTAATCGTCACAACCTAATTATTTAGGAATATTTAATAATCAAATACACACCAACGACCTTCAGTATTTATGACTTATTTTCCAGTTATTGTAAAGTACACTGTATAGCCTGACACACAAACAATAGAACAATCAACGAGTCGCCCCCACCTTTACGAAATCTTCATGTCTTAAGCTGATGAATTATTACTGGGCAAAGTTCATTCCTAACTCATGTTCTGAAATTCATCATCTAAACTGAGCTTAATTATGGAAATATTACCTACCGTTGGTTGTACGTGGTCTGATCAAAAATATCGAGAGAGTTGCTATGGTAATGAAGCTAAAGTACACAGAGTGAAAACCGCTTGGCACGGATTAACCTTGAACTCTGTCGCGCCTGCACACTTGCTTTGTTTTTAGCCGTGATTGGAAGGAAAGTGTATAAAGTGTGGTCGTCTCATCACATCACTGAATTTCTATTAGTAACCATGGCTTATGCAGCAGTTTTTGACCAATGACAACATTCCCCAGGTCCGATAACCACCATTGCAACTATTCCCTATTCAAAACCAAATTCTATTTGAAACGGACAAAATTTCAAGACGTCAAGGCAACCCAAGAGAATGCGTTGAGGCAGAAGTTCCAGGAATGCTTCCATCAATAGAAACGACACTGGATAACGTGAATGGCCTCAGAAGGGGACTATTTTGAAGGAGATTAAATGGTGAATAGGTACGTGCTGTAGTTTTATTTATATAGCACAAGTCCCAATACTTTTTGATCAAACCAGTATAGTTTAGACGTATCAGTTACACAAGGATATTATGATATTTTGAATTTGAATTAAAAAGAAAGTAAGACGTCTACTCAGAATCAAGAAAAGACAATTTCTTGGACACATAATGATGAAGGAGATCTTGGGGAGAAGAGAGATAGGGGAATGCAAAAACTGTCGAATGTGAAACTCTGTTTAAATAAAGCGTAGTGTACGTATGTTCGCCCGTCCGTTCTTCGATCTCAGTGAATCATAAACAACCTGAAGCAGCAGGTAATAACGACTGTAGTTACAAAGGACTAAAAATTAAAAGAATAACTCATTTAAAGTTAAATTCAAATATCAAACAACGTGAAAGGTTTAAAAATAATTCTTTATTAAAGGTTTAAATTTAGTTTCGCTTTTGGTCGCAAATGCATTTCATATCGTCTAATCAAACCTTAATAAAAACTTAAGCAGGGCATGGTACGTTGCTCATATGTTTGTTTTCTTTTTCTTTTTCTAACGCGTGTACTGTGACGTATTCGAAATATTACATAGTTCGGGTTCCTCATTATATTTTAAGAGTGACGTAATTTGAAGGGATCATAAAGAATGGTGATTTTAAAAGAAAATAAAAATTGCGTGCAAAATAAATGTAAAAAAAAAAAAACACGGAGATCGGTTACGTATACGAAGAAAGATTATGCCGAATTAAGGTGTCGAATAAAGCTAAATTTTATTATTTCTAAATTCTTATAACTTTTATGTACTTAAGACTCTGAGGGAAAATTTGTCAGCTTACAATCAAAGAGTTTCATATTTTGTTGAAACTATTCGCTATCATGTACTCCCTTATGAAGCATTTGGGATAAGCGATATTTTCCAGAGTACTCCTTCAACTATTGTTAAAAGATTTTTTTTTTTAAATTGAATAAAGGGCTCTTTAAATTGAAGAGATTTTTTTTTCAAAAAACGAAAGAAAACAACCTACAGGAATCAATGTCCAATCACAATGAGGGCTCGTCTCAGAAATTAAAGCACAATAATGATTTCTACCTGAATGTTTGTTACCATTATTTACAGACTAACTATTGTCAATATCTTTGTCGCTATTTGTTGTTGGGTCTTCCCTCTAATGAGAGGCTATTGTGGTCTCTTCCACTTACTATAAAGTAGTAGGAAAAGTAAGCCTCGGGGGGGGGGGGATTAGTGCCATAGCTTGTTCAACTGTTGAACTCTCTGCATTGAGCGGAGAGGAACCCGGACGAGGCTTTGCCGAAGGGCAAAGTTTGGTCCGGGGAGGTAAACAGACACTAAACCCTTTTATACGGGTTCTAAAGAAATATTTTTGGCTGAGCCTACGGGCTCGGAGAACCCACGGTAAACTCAGCCTTGTGCCACAAACATCCCTCGTGTGAGGGAGCTGTTAAGTATTAATGGCGTTCCAAACTGTTCAACCGTCGAACTCACTGTCTTGAGCAGAGAGGAAGCCGGACACGGCTTTACCAAAGGGAAAAGTTTCGTCCGGGGAGGTAGACAGGCCCTGAACCCGTTTATGCGGGTTCTACCGAAATATTTTAGGGCCGAGCCTACGGGCTCGGAGAACCCATGGTAAACTCAGCCTTGTGCCACATACATCCCTCGTGGCGAGAGGCAGTTAAATAGTAACAGTCATATAGATTGTTCAACTGTCGAACTCTCTGCCTTCGGGCAGAGAGGAACCCGGACGAGGCTGTGGCGAAGGGCAGAGTTTCGTCCGGGGATGTTCACAGACCCGAACCCGTTTATGCGGGTTCTACGGGGATTTTTTTTTTAGCCGAGACTACGGGCTCGGATGACCCACGTTAAACTCGATCTGTGCAACATATATCCCTCGTAGGGGGCTGTTAAATATTAACGGTGATATAGGCTGAACGCTGGTCAACCGGCACACGCTCCCAAGTCGTGTAACTCACTTCTGTTGTATTTACTATTCAATACACGTTTTATCTGCAACCTCTTGTTTTCTTATTTCTTAACCAATTACTTGGTCACAACACTATTATCATAACGTTTCGACTGTTTTACCCTCCAAACTTCATCAGGTATACTAGGGATGATCACAAAGTATCGATATTGGTGCTTTAAAAAAACTACAACAGATATTAGTTTGGCATTTAATCTCCTCCGAAATAGTCCTCATCTGAAGCCACCCACTTTATCCGGAGTTCTTTTCATTGATGGAAGCCTTACTAGTGTTCAAGGCCAGTTTGTGGCAAGTGGCTACACTCTTCATACTTTAGATCCGTTATCATAGCAATAGTTCCGATACCTTTTTTATCAGACTTCGTACCCCGATCCGACTAACCTACAGGGAAATTTCAGTGCCGCTCAGCTTCGTTTCCATTTTGTCCAAGTACACACTGCCCGGCCAAGGAATTGAACTCACAATCAATATGTCACGAACCAACGTTTAATCCCGCTAGTGATAGCAACTTTTGATGAGGATATAACAGTCTGAATTTAAATAATGTAAAATAAAAAAAATGTTGATCTGTGTGCCGAGAGATGCAATAATGTTCATTTAAGCGTTACTTTCATTAATGTATATACATTTGGGGAAGTCATTCTGCTTTAAATCAAAAAGCAAGGAAAACATTATTTCTCTCGGCATTGTAATAAACAACCTGTCACATGTTTTTAATATTATTTTATTTGATTAATTACAAAGCTAATTACAAATTAATCTTAATGAGAATTTAATTACAACTTCATTAAATCCCGCTTAATTAAAATTTGCACATTTCGTAAGTAAAGGCAGTTTATGACATTTTTGTAAAAGAGAAAGACTATATTTAGGGCCGGGTTATGTTCATTTAGGGCCCCTAGACGAATGAAATTGTCTCCCTCCTCCGCAGAAGGGACTACTCTCGAACTCTCCCGCTATCGTCTTGAAAATGTTTTAATCGTCATATATTTTAGCGACATTTACACAGCTTGAAGTAAACTTACGGCAAATTCAACTTGTTATGAATAATCAAGAGTGGTCTCCCCTTGTTTTGTTACACTCCTCCTTGAGAGGGCTATTTCTGTTTATTGGGACGATAAAAGGACACTATAAGCGAACCTTGTATTCTCATTTGAATAGAGGTTTCTTAAAGCCTACACCTGGGTACTTTTGTCTTTTCATAGCTATCATTCTTTTGTCAATAAAAATATTCTTTAAAATAGCACTATTTTAATATTTATTGCAAAGCAAATTAGCACATATTTCAAAACAGCCGTAGTAAAAAAAAAACTGATTTTTTATAAGCAGATTTAGAAGACAATCAAAATAACTAAGAGCATGTCATTTCAGTTTATGAAACCATTTAGCAATTATAACATCTAGAAAATTAAAATCACAGCTTTATGAAAATGTCTAAGAATTAGACATTCGAACCTAAAAGCAAACATGTTATCTACTCGAAGCACAATGAAACAAACTAAAACATTCGTCTCCTTGTTTTGCTTCCTGCAATGTCAAATAAATATGAGTTTGTCATATTGATATTATTTCACTTTATGAAACTATTTAGAAGTTATAACATCTAGAAAATTAAAATCACTGCCTTGTAAAAGATCGAAAGCCCCTAGGCTGCAGCCTATACCACCCTATAGGATAATACGTCTCTGAGCCCTAGGCTTCGGCCTATATTAGCCTAAAGGATAATCCTGCACTGATTGTATTATACATCTGTATATGTCCGTCGATATCAAAGGAAACATATATCAAAAACTTCATAGACACCAATGAATGCATATGTAATTATAAACAAAATAATTACAGGCTATATCGGAGTTAATCAGAAATAATTTCATTTCATTCACTTTAATCCATTA